CGCTGGAAGATATATATACATATATTTTAGTTTGTGTAAATATATATATATTTCCTTTTATGTAAACTTAATTTTTAATTTAGACTAAATCAGAGAAATCAGCTGACTTGTTAAAATTAATATGTTAATTCAATATGTTTCTGAGGAGCGAAAAACCATTTCATCTCATTATGAGATGAAATGACAAATTAATTAAATGTTGATGCACTTTTTTCTTTTCAATTTGTTTTCGATTGATAAATCATTTTTTGTTAACTAATTTGTTGCTGTGAATGTAATAGTTAAATCATAGTCATAAACAAAATAAATAATTTAAATTATTACAATTAGTTAATTACAATATAAATAATGCAGCTAATTTTAAAATATTAGATCGGACGAAGTTTATGACTTTGCATTCAGAACATACCCTATAGGATAACCCTATAGCCTCTGTAACTCTGTGGGGGAAACATTTTGAGCGTGTTAGGTGGGTCATCTTGACCATCATTTAGTAGCAGGTGTTCCTTTGTAGCACTCCTTACAATGCCTTTTGTTCATTTTGGGGGGAATAAGTTTGTGACGAACCGTACCCGTCATCAAACAATCTTTTACCTTATGAGGGTGGTCGTCAATTCGCAGGTGTTGTTCTGAGAAATTTTTATTTAAATTAACTCATTTCTGAGAAAATAAAAGATATTCTTTAGGAGACTGAAGCAGGAGTGATTGAATTTCCCTCCTTACCTTGAATTCCTTTATCAGATGAGCAATTTTAAGAACGAGACAATCGCTTTTTTTTTTTAGTGGAACTTCTTAAATGTGTTGTAAAACTCAAAGATTTTTGAAAAAGAAAGTCTTCTCTTTTATATGAGTTTTTATAATTTCTTCAGTTTATTTCTGGTTCTCATTTAACACTTCCTCTAGTTTATTTAAACTTTTGACCGCACTCCTACTGAAACTTCCAAGAACATATTTTAAACGTTATAAGCAACCCATATTTTCATGGTCAAAAATCTAAATAGAATTTAAAAAAAGTGAGGTTATTTAAAGAAAGTTAACTTTGCGTTTGATTTCACAACTTAAATGTTTTTTTTGCGCTAATTAATCAACTTAGTCAAAGTAAGAGTGCAAAACCATTAAGTTATTATGCGTGAAAATCTGACAATTGCATAAAAAATATTTAGAATGCTTTTTTTTCATGTTCACTGCATGAAACCTGGTACATTTTTAATCATGCTTCGTTTTTATTATACATGTTCCGTCAAATATTTCAAAATTAAGCTAAATTGTTTCAATGATATAGTTGCTAGGGTAAAATTTTCGGAATTGTATGTTTTATTTGAATCATTTGTAGCCTATAGTATTGTCCACACAAAGTTATTTTCGAGGCGAAAATGGAATGCGCCAATAAAAGAAGAAAATTGGAAAAGAATAAAAAAAGTAAATGAAAAATTTTACTTTGCCGTAAGCAGTTTCAAAATTTCACATTATTTTTCCATAAAATTCTCGTTTTTAGTGCAAAGAAAAAATATGTAAAAAACTAAAATAAACTTCAAAATTAAAAATAATTAAAAATGCATTTAAATTACTTTAAAGATATTACTAAAAATTGTTAGTCTTCACAGTATCTGATATTATCTATATAAGTTTAGATATTGAAACAAATTTTAAAGCAGGAAAAAGTAAAAAAAAGTAGAATATATGTGTGCCTGGAAGACAGCACTTCTTCCGGGGACACACTGTCAACAAACACTCATGAGCCTTTCTGTTGTCAGTGGAAAAACCAAAACTGACAGTGCCCCATATATGAATCTATCCATCTATCCTTATAAGCTATCTTTAAAAATTATAAATTACATTTTAAAATAAAAGATCATTCTCAATAAGATGGAGAATAATATCAAATCAAAGGTGTTTTAAGATTTTATTCGCAAAAATTATTTCTCTAAAGCACAAATATTAATGTTGGGAATAAACTTTTGGACCATTTGAAGATCTTTTTTGAAGGTTTATATAATTTATAAATTGCTTCAAGGAAACAATCCGTAACTCACTTTTATTTTTACACAAAATTCAATGCTACTTAATTGAATTCTAATAATAACTGCTTTTTTTTAAGTATTTGAATGAAATACTTAAATTTCAAAGAATTGTGACAAAATTCTGCAATGCTTTTTGAGCTTTATAGAACTTTTCTTTTCGTATAATTAGCCTCAAAGACATGTCATTCTTGTAAAGATTAATTGTCATTGATAAGAGCTTCAAAGTATATAATACCCTGAATGATTTCTTATAGTTTGTATGTTGCATGAAAAGAATTGTGTGTGTGTGTGGGGGTGGGGTTATGACTTGACACGAGTGACAATAGTTATGATTCAGTGTCCAGGTTTGACCAATGGGAGGCATCTATCTATTGTTGCAGCAAAAGTACATAACTGTTACTTTAAAATTGTAATATTCATTTCGGTGTTGAACTGTGAGTTCGCTCGTAATAGTTACATTAGTAGAAAAGTATAGTTACTTCGTTACAGTCTTGAAGCTTGGTGTAGTGAATTTTCTGTCAAGATTTTGTGGAAAAGTCTTAGCATCATTAACGATGTCTCTGCTCAAGGATATTAAGTAAGTTCTTCTTTATTTTTTACTGATTTATTTATGAATTAATTAAGGCTTTTCATTCTTCTATCTCCATTTTATTTAATACGCTCTAATTAGAAAAAAAATGTGGCTAACAGTTATGGTTCATCTGTGTCTGAATATAAGTTTTAGTATTTGAAATTTCATAGTATTTGTAATTAGTATTTGAAATTGTTGGATATATTAGAAAATAAACTAGGAAAGTAAATTTGACTTAATGTAATTTTAATTTATTGTAAGATTTATTTGATTAAATAATTTGTTTCTGAACTCCTCCAAAAGTTTTTTAAAGTTTAATTCAATTTATTGCTGAAATGGTTTTTGGTATTTAAAATATTTATTTATTTGTTTTATAAATTATTTTAGCTTGTGTTATCAGGAATCAATTGATTCTACATTTAAACGTCATAAATTTACTTTAAATAAACATCCATACAATTACATACATTATCTTTAAATATCTCAATTAATTTTGCCTTAAAGTGCTTAACTCCACAAATAGTTTTTTCTTATTTGAATTTAATTAACATAATTTCTTTAAATGTATTTTTTAATTAATGTTAATTAAAATTCATTTTATTACATATTTATTTTGTGCTATGAGGAATTAGATGATTTTTCATTTAAACGTCCCAAATTATAACTCATTTCTTCTGTCTTTTGTAATTCTTTTTTTTATCAAAGTAAATATTTAGATGAGAAATTGAGTGTATTAAATTATTTGTTTTTGTTCTCCTGAAAGTGGTTTTTAGTTAAACTTAATTAAGTTTGCTGATGATATGGATTTCGTTATTTCAAATATTTATTAATAAATTTTATTCCGTGGTCTTAGGAATCAGTTGATTCTGCAACGAAGCCCCAGAAATAACTCTAAATATCTCAGCTTTTCCTTGCTGTCATTTTTAATACCTTTTCTTGCAAAGCAAATGTGATATAATGTAATTTTAATTATATATAAGGTTTAGTTGATTAGGTTATTTATTTTTGACCTAAGAAACAGTTTTTTTAAAAATTTTATTTAACTAAGTTGATTGCTGAAATGGATTTCATTATTTAAAGTATTTATTAATTCATTTTATAAAATATTTTATTCTGTGGTATCAGGAATCAGTTCATTCTGTATTGAGGTATGAGGAATTAGGTGATTTTTCATTTAAACGTCCGAAATTATATCTCATTTCTTCTCTCTTTTGTAATACTTTTTTATACCAAAGTAAATATAATAGAGTGTATTAAATTATTTGTTTTTGTTCTCCTAAAAAATTGGTTTTTAGCTAAACTTAATTAAATTTATTGATGATATGGATTTCGTTACTTAAAATATTGTTATTAAAATTTCGTCATAGTCAACAGTAGGCAGTGCTGTTGTAGTTGCAATGCGCGTATTGGCCATTACTTTTTATTTGTTTTAGTATTTATTCGTTCAAAGTTACTATTTTAAATTTTTTAAATTAATAAATTCTGAATTAGTTTTGTTATTTTAAATATGTGGTAATGTTAAAATTTTGTCAAATATATTTTTTGTGAATAAACTTTCTTCATTTTATTTGCGAAAATGGATATTAAAAAAGCGATTACTTTTCGCACTTTTACCTTTAAAAAATTGAGTTTCTTTACATTTGAAAAATTAATGGGTTAAATACATTTTCTACACATAGATTTTTTTTTTTTTTACACATTAATTTAATCTTTTGTGAAAAAAATTAATACTTCATCAGAGACATTAGAATATAGAGAGAAATTTAATCCATTAATCTTGAATTCAGCTGCTTATAAATGGAAATTTTTGATCCAATTACGTCAGAAAATATTAATTTACGTCAAATTTAATTAGATTATTTGCAATTGATTAAGATAAATAAAATAGTATAATATTCGATTTGGTTTTTCAAAAATAAAGTTTTTAATATTAATTATTTTTCCAAATTCAGTTAAAATGTAAAGAAATTAAGAAAAAAAAATCATACATGTGAAAAAGAGTGGTAAAATATGTACTCTGATTTACTGATATATCGCTTACTCTAAGAATAGCGCTAAGAATAGCCATGTCCTTAGGCTGTGAAATACTGTAGTGAAGGAGAAGGTTTTCTTCTTCTCGGATGGGTTTTACTGAATTTGTTACGATATTATCGTTTGTCGATATTTATTGTGCCCATATATTTTTTGATATTCATCGTGTGTTTATATTTATCAATATTTAGCTTAAGTTAAAATTTTTTGCATTTACTATATATCGTGAGAATATTTCGCTATAAATTTAAATTATCGACGGCTCACGAGATATCGATACATCGAACTATTAGCTCCGAATTGGTTTGTGAATAATAAGTGAGTCCTAAATTTAAAGATGTATCGTACACTGTAAGGATTAACTTAACGGAAGAAAAAGATATTTTTTACAGGAAAAAAACACTGTTTAAGAAACTGTTTCTGACTTTATCTATATTTGCAAAGCAGTTTTTCTTACCGTATAATCCCTCTTTCTTTTTCAAATAATTTTACTATTAAGTATAGAAAGAAGTAGAGAAGCATCGAAGAATACTTGCTCTTATATTTCAGTATAAATTAAACTGCGATCTGATTTTATTTTTAATTCAATACTTTAACTATATATTTCCTTAATATATAATTTTTCGGAAGTTAAGTTACCATACATTTTTATTCTGGTAGGCCTCTATAGTTTAAACTTTTTTACACTTACGTGTTATTTCAATAACTTTTTTAAGATGAAAACAGTTTAAGATTTCCCTCATGCCGAGACGCTAGAGCTCCGGTAGTACAGAGGATCCATTGCTATGTCCCAGGTTCGAATCCCATCTTCGCGTCAACAGGTCGTACGAATGCTGCTCTCAGCATGCGCTGACCGCAATGCAGACATAAATTTTTCATAGAAGTTTCTGTTGAAATAACGGAATTTTCAGAAATAATAGTACTTATCTAATGAAAAAACAGACGCCAGTTTTTCTGAAAAAAATAACTGTTTTTTTTCTTCTGAAAAATAAACAATTAATTTTAAGCCATTATTAACCAAATCACCATTCTTTAACAATATTTAGTTTGTCACACTAAAAGTATACTGAAGTTACTATGATAATACTGAAAAAAAGTTCAAGGGAACTGTTTTTCTTCATTTGAAAAATATCGTCAATTGTTAGAACGCAGGATGTTTATAAACTCTCAAAACCTAAAGTTACGCAAGATATGATTTTAAGAAGTTACCTGGGGTGAACAAAACAATAGAAAAACTTTTATACTAATACATTTTTGTTTCAAATTTCTGCAAAAAAAAAACAACTTAAAGAATAATATTATAACTTTAGAAGTGTTTAGATCATATAATTTCTCGAACATATAAGTGAAAATCAGAGCTTTTTCAGAGGTTTGAAGGGCAGACACTATATTGTAAGTGCAAAATAATGTTTTTGAACACAACATCCTATGCCGAAAAATATAGCAATAGATTTATATTTTTGTTAGTTACTCAGTTATTTTGGTAAGTGTATAGTATAGTTAAGCAAAATTTCGTAAGCCAAACTGAAATATTTATGGAGATTTGGTCATTTTTGTCTTAGGTGCTTTGCTAAACTTAAAAAAATATTAAGTAAAATTGGACTAAAATTTGTGGAAGACACCTGAAGCTACATAGAAAATTGCTTGAAATTCTACGCTTTAAAGATGTTTAACTGAGACTTGAATATAAATTAGTTACCAAATGCGATTCTTGTCAAAACTATGAAGAAAAAATGTAAAAATTTTCCAGCGCATGTGCAGTAAAATTTTTTTTTTTTCATTACTCATATGTCGTGCAGTATTAAAGAATTTTTCTCAAATTTTAAAGCATATATTTTGCAATTAATTTTAAATTTCTCTAAATATTCTGATTAATTTTATTGAATTTTTTTCATTGAAGTTATCGAAAAACAACGTAAGACAAGAAATATATCTTTTTTTCTTATAAAATTATTAATTCTTAGTTATAATTATTCAGCTTAATTTTATAAAAATTACTATATCTCCATAAATATTTAAGCTAGGCTTACTAAAATTTGTGCTACCGTTGCATAAAAGAACCAAAATAATTCAAATAATAAAAATTTATTGTCACATTGTTTGGTAAAGGGTGTTCAAAAGCGTTTTTGTTTTCGTTTGTAATTCATTGTCAGTCCCTCAAATCTTAAAAAGGTCTTAAGTTTATTGATATGTATGAAAAATCGTATGATCTAAACGCTTCTAAAGTTATAAAATAATCCGTTATGTATTTTCAGAGAAATTTGAAAAAATGTAGTAGTATAACAGTGTTTCCATAATTTTGTCTACTACCTGTATCATTACAATTGTATTTATTAAATTTGCTTCATGCAAAATAAATTGTAAATGCTGTGAATGATAAAACTTAAAAAATAATTTCTCAATTTATTTTATTTTTGAAAAGTATTTATGACTCATAGTTGAATTTTTTAAATTTATTTTAAAAATCCGAAATTTCTCACTAATGAGTTTAAAAGATTTATATCCATTTAACTATGCTTATAAACAGAAAATACTCCATATTCTGTACACTGTAAGAGATTTCTGATCAAATTACGGTATAAAGTACCGCCACTCATAGTGCCGATACTTTTTGCCATAAAATCCACTCTTATACTGGAGCATGTTACGGAGCAAGAAATTTGATATATCGTAATTTTTGCAGTAATAATTACCGTAAGATCACTTTAATTAAATAAATATTATTGTAAGAATTTTAAGTATCTTATTTTATGGTAAATTTGGATTGCACTGCTGATGCACGCACAGACGATGTACTTTATATCGTAATTTAATTAAAAAAATTTCACAGTGTAACAACCATTGTGTGCTTTATTTCTATGAACTATCATGTGCTGAATTGTTTCTGTGAATTTTTTCACTTTCATACTTGCAATATGGGCTAATAGTTTTTGGAGTCATCAGATGTCAAGTTATATCAGGTTATAAGCGAAACA